AGAAGTAATTATAGATAATGTTTTAAGATTATTTGGAAGAAATGTTACTGGTTGGTTTGAGGTTCCTGTTTTTTTGTTTTTTAAGGAAAAGATGACGGTTTGCGCAAAGTTATTGTAAGATTCAGTAATGAATTTCAGAACGGAGATAGATTTAAGTCTACAATACATATATAATAGATAATATAGACTAAAGTTATCGACATAGCCCAAAGGATTAGCAAACTGAAGTGGCAGTGGGCAGCTCACATCTGTCGAAGAACCGATGACCGCTGGGGTAAACATGTTCTAGAGAGGAGACCACGTCTAGGCAAACGTAGTGTAGGGCGCCCTCCAGCTAGGTGGACTGACGACATCCACAGGGTGGCTGGCAGTGGTTGGATGAGAAGAGCTGAACATCGAGCTCAGTGGCGTGCAATTGGGGAGGCCTATGTCTAGCAGTGGATGACAACAGGCTGATGATGATGATGAATATAGACTACTGTTTTTCCGTGATACTTCGTGCGAAACTCGATTACTATAGTAGGTTTTACGTGTTTTTGGACAAAGGAAAGAAACCCACATTTTTGTCACTCAATAGCCTGGTGCAATGATGTATCGGGTTCAGCTCGGAGCAGGAGAAGGAACGGGATAGCTTTTAGTCAGTAAGTCTGACTCTCCCTCGTGCCTCGCCCAGGGAGGGAGAAGTATCGAAGTAAGTACTTTTCTTCTATTTTTACTTTTAAATAAAACAGTCCGTTTTAGGAGCAACGCGAAAGAAAAAGCGTTTTTAATATTAAGTAATAAGTATTAATAATCATGTCGATGAAGTTAAAATACTCATTGAGTGCTTCATTGGAAGCATCACGATTCGAAGAGTCAATAATACTGTTAAAGTGTGGGAGACACCACTGACATACGGTGAAGGAAAATATAGTGAGGAAACCTGAACTAATAATTTCTAATTTGTAATGAAAGTTTGAAATCGGTAATCCGCCTTGAGCAAGCGCGGTAATTAATGATAATTTATTTTCCGTGTGAGAAGAGGCTTTTGCTCAGCAGTGGGCACTTATAGGATGATGATGTGTGGTGAGTGGGATAGCCATGCTTCAGCACGAATGGGTCTTCTCGACCGGAGTGATACCACGGGCGCATAGAAAACTCACGGAAAACTTCCCTTCTATTTACAAAAATAGATTGCATCACTCTAAAATTAGTATTTATTATTAAATAACAGAAGTTGATGAAATAATGTTATGACCGTTTTGAGCAATATCGTGATGGACAGTCACCAGTCGTGACCTCACACTGTCGCCGACTTCCGCTGCCTTTTGTACCGTACCGATCAACTGTCACTGCTCTACATTTCTCTTGAAAAGAGTATTCTGCTTACCTTCAAATAATAATAGGGAATATCTACTTTATTAAGAGACGGCTTGGAAAAAAATATTTGGATTATGATTAGCAATTGCTGACTGTAGACATAAGCAACACTGGAAGTGTTTCGAGTTCGTCGCTGGCCTTTTGGAGATTAGGGTTTCGGAGATTCAGGGAATGGGGAGAGATAGGGGAAGGGGAAAGATTGGTTCTTCGATTACATCACTAACACGGCGAAATACAACGATGTGGTTGTTTCACGTCGGTTTTCTGTGAGGCCGTGGTATCACTCCATTCGAGTCGGCACATTCGTGCCGAAGCTTGTCTCTCATACACTTTGCTTTGCTATTATATTTTGAAGACTTCATTTATTGTTATAATCATGGTAATTTTTAGCTTAATTCGGTTGTTTTGTAAATTGTAAATCATTGATTAGAGGGAAGCGCGCCCAGCTTACTCCTCTAACAAATATTAATAAACAATGTGCATACATATTATTCGGATTTTTTTGTTATACATATTATAAATACTAAAGACACGCACCGGCTTCACACGTTTGCAATGCCGATACTTAAATTCTTCGCTATTAAATGGATGTTATTACACCAATAAAACTTCAATTCAATCACTAGTTGAAAAAAACCGCACGAAAATCCGTTGCGTAGTTATAAATAGATTTAAGCATACATAGGGATAAAGGGACAGAGAAAGCGACTTTGTTTTATACTTTATAGTGATCATATGCTTTTTCTTGGACCTTTGAGGTCTAACACAATAAATGACTCCAAATTACATGGAGAAAGCTTAAAAGATACTATAAAATATGTAACACGGTTTACAATAAATAATAATAATTCTTATATTATTAATAATAAGATAAAAATCTCACTCTATCTAATCATAATGTACTATTATAATGTTATATCATTATTCTATTTATTATATACAAGACAAAGGACAATAAAGTCAAAGAAACATAATTAAACCTTCTTGGTAGCAATGGTATGTATTATGAAACGTCACGTTGATTAACCACAGACTATAATTTATCGAGACTGGTGTGTTTTGTTTTTTGTATTGTGATAGTACAGTAAATGTATATTGAATTACCTGATGGCAAGCAATGAGAGCCGCCCATGGACTCGCAAAAACGAAGGAGTTACGTGTGCGTTCCCGGCATTTTGGGGATTGGTATTTCGGAGAATTAGGGACTTGGCAGGAATGAAGGGAGGGAGAGAATTGGGTCTCACTTACACGCCGTAACCCAATGCTGGAAGTGTTTCATACCGATTTTCTATGAGACCGTATATCAATCACTTTTATATCTTTATTCCAAACTAATATTTTAAATGTGAAAGTAACTCTGTCTGTCTATATTAAAGTTTGAATTAAACAACAAAATACTAAACAATGCATTACGCAAAAAAGGAACCGAACGTGAAGTCTCATCACCAAACGCGGATAATGCGCTTCAAATATAAAGACAACAAATTTATAACCCGAACACTTGCAACAAACAGATTGATATTAACTAACTCCAAAAGATTATGGAATTAAATCCATTCCTTTCCAACATTTCAAAGAGATAATCAAAAACGTATTAATCAAATAATTGAATATTAAATTGTTTAAAACAGAATCTATTTGTAAGTTTGTATGCAGGGGGTAAACTTTGGAACCGCTAGTTGGATTGTCAAAATTCTTTTACTGATAGATAGCTACAATGTTCCTGAGTGCTATAGGCTATAAAAAATCACGGTACGATCAAATGGAGCCGAGCAGCGGGTGAAACCGCGCGAGAGTAGCTAGTCTACCTGTAGTTATAATAAATCTGTAGAGAGGTCAATTCTGTTCATCACCAGCCTATAAGTGCCCACTGCTGAGCAAATGCCTCTTCTCACACGGAGAATAGAGATAATTGGAAATTATAAGTCCAGGTTTCCTCACGATGTTTACCCTCACCGTATGTCAGTGGTGTTTAAATAATCATAGAAAGTACATATAACACGGAAAAAGTCACATTGGTACTAGCCAGGTTTCGATATTTGTATATTATTCAAAATAACTATCAGAGGGTGATAAGTGATCGACAAATATTAATAACCATTTTATAATCTTGAAGTCGGTGCAAAGTGAATCAACAAAGCCATACCAAACAATAACAGTATTAGACAAATATATTGATTTGTACCTCATAATCATCAATCTAACAATAGGTATATAGGTAATCTTAACACTATTTTTGTTTTACTTGGCACCGAATTCAAGATTATAAAATGGTTATTAATATTATTTTCTATTTACCTAAATGAAAATATGTACTTATTAATTTCTACAAAGAAAATTTATTTTTTGCTTTTTAGTTTACTTTTTGAAGTCGGGTTATTTTTGTCAAAAAATATTTATAGGTATAGCCTATAGTCCTTCCTCAATAAGTGGACTAACGGACACAAAAATAATTATTCAATTCAAACTAGTAGTACCGTAGATTAGCGCGTTCATACAAACTCTTCAGCTTTATAATATTAGTATACTAGCTCTTGCCCGCGCCGTCACTCCAGTCATTTGACTACCTACCCTACTCTACCTAACCTTCACAACCTACTCTATCCTATCCTATGTCCTTCTCCCAGTTCTTAGCTACCTCCCTACGAATTTTCAGACAAATCGGTTCAGCCGTTCTTGAGTTATAAACAGACACACGACTTTCTTTTACTCAGGCATAAATATAGATATAAATAAAATTAAATATAAATTTTCTTACCTATGTGTCGTGGATGCGTTAACAATCATACAATTTCTCATACACATCACACCTACACCCGGAACAACAATACGGGAATTGTATCAGTGACACGTTTCGCGTCAGCCACCGCGGCGCCAACCGTGCATTCAAAATCATACTTAAATGAGATAATAATAAAGAACGAATAAATTAAACAATAAAAATAAATACGAAACAATTTAAAAAAGGAACGGACAATTATAAAAACCGGAGCAGAGATTGATAAACGCATTGTTTTTGATGTCGCAACATCCTGTACGCCGGATATTGTGATTGTTCTTCCTTTAATAAATTACAGGGTGGTTTGAAAGTTGTGAGGGGTGAAATCCAAAGGGGTCGAACAGGAGTAAGGGGTTAATTATGTTTCGTAACGGGGTTTAATGTTATCCTTTTTACGGGTGTTGTTCAATCTTATCCGATCTTGTCTGGCCTGCTTTGTTTAAAGGTCCGAAATTGGGTTTTCATAATTTTCTTCCTGGCTTACTGCTTGATGAGATTTGCTATGCTTAATATTTTCTTAATTAAATTATTTTATTTTATTAGTTTGGTATTAATTTTACACGAGTACATTTAATATTGGTAACATTATAGTCTATGTTTTTTTTTGTGAGGGGAAAATCATCAATTGTAAGTTAATAATCAATTGTAAAAGTGCCGTTTTATGGCCTATTTGCAAAAATAAATTCATTGTTTCATTGTTTCAAATGACTTCTCCCGCCCAGGGTCGGGCCGGTGGGAGTGTCAGACTCTTACTGACTAAAAACCCCCTGTTCATTCTCCTCTGATCTGTGCCGAGGTCGCGGTGCCTCATTGCACTTACCCCGTAACCCCGAGTGATGGTCTAGGTGGTTGTTGTTGAAAAATGGACCGGTTCAACTGGAGTGATACCACGGCCTCACAGATAACCGGCGTAAAACAAGACATAATGTTGCGTTTCGACGTGTGAGAGAGGTTACCGGAGACTCAATCCTTTGCTACCATCCTCAACCTTCGAATCCTCTATCCTTAAATACCTAATAACACACAAGAGTCCGGCAACGCACTTGTAGAAACTTCTTTGGTATTACGAGTGTTTAAAGGCGACGCTGATTGCTTACCACCAGAAAATCCGTCTGCTTGTTTGCCGACCCAAACTAATCCTTAGTTTTTTTGTAATATCTCAAAATCTGTCATTGTACCTGGTGTATGATAATAATAGGCTTACAAAAATAGTTGTTAACTATTACATTCTAGTTTGCTAATCTCACGCGGTTCCGCTCGCAGGTCGGCTCCTATCAGTATGTTTTATAGCCTATAGCCTCCCTCGATAAAAGGACTATCTAACACAAAAATAATTGTTGAATTTGAACCAGCAGTTCCGGAGATTAGCGCTTTCAAAGAAACAAACTCTGCAGCTTTATAATCTTTATTATATATATAAAGATTTTGTGTCACGTGTTTGTCCGCGATGGACTCCTAAACTACTAAACCGATTTTAAATTTGATTTGCATTCCGTGTGCATTTTGATCCAACTTGAAAGATAGGTTAGCTTGCATCTCAATTTATAGTCACAATATCATTTTATTGCAAATTAGTATAAGTGTGAGAGAGCCATGCTTCGGCACGAATGGGTCGGCTCGACTGGAGTGATACCACGGCCTCACAGAAAACCGGCGTGAAACAACCACAGCGTTGTGTTTCGCCATGTGAGTGAGGTTACCGGAGGCCCAATCCTTTCCCTTCCCCAATCCCTCCTCAATCCCTAAATCTCCAAATCCCTAATTCTAAGTGCTCCGTTGCGGGTGTCCATGGGCGGCTGGGCGGAAATAAATAAATAAATAATATGACAAGAACTTTAGCCACAGAAACGCGTGGCTGGTTCTGCTAGTATTAGTATAGACTCTGTAATACAAATAAAATATAAATATAGTACTAATATGTACCCCTTGCTTAATGTAAACCTCCTTGATGTAAACCTCATCCCTCATAACTAAAAGACAGTAAGGTCACTTCCTTCATCACGAATGGTCGTTTAGCTCATCGTTCCCCATAGATCTCTATTAGTCGTTTGGCACGGAACCAAAACCAACACTCGCGTATTATCTGGCAGTCATTCCACTAAACTATCTCCTATGTCTAGTGGTGGAAAGGGCTACTGTTCACAGTTTTATAACCGACTCCCAAAACGAGCAGGTTTTTTAATTCGACCCTATATGTATAATAATATGGTTTTTGTATTAATTAGTTCGCGGATAACTTTTTTATGTGATACGTAAACGTGCAGACAGATTACCTGATGGTAAGCAATCAGTGGTGCTCTAGGATATCCACAATAATGGAGGAGTTACCGGCGGGTGGAGTGGGAGTGTTTCCGGCATTTTGGGGATTGAGGATTTGGAGATTTCGCGATTGGGGGAGGGGAAGGATTGGGCTTCCAATAACCACATTCACACGGCGAAATATAACGCTGTGGTTGTTTCACGCCGGTTTTCTGTGAGGTCATGGTTACACTCCGTTTGGCCGATCTATTCATGCCGAAGCATGGGTCTCCCACACTTAAATAATTTCGTCATTTATGAACCGATTTTGAATTTTGATGATTGTTTTTTATTGGTAAGTAAATACTTTGAATGTCTTTTTCTTCTCCTTTTTTATTTTTTTTAAACGTTGCCCACACCACGCCACACTAGAGTTTTCTCCTGTGTCGTGGGTGCAGATACAAACATACAATTTCACATACACATGACACCCAGACCCGGAACAACAATTTGTGGGTCACACAAAGTGTTGTTCCGTGCGGGAATCGAACCCACGACACGTCGCACGGCAGCCAGTTGCCCAGCCACCGCACCAACCGTGCAGTCAACGTCTTGCTCCAGGCATGGGCTGCGTCAACTTTTTACGCTTGAAATGTAACCTATAACCTTAACTAAGAGCCTATGCTATTATATTCATATTTTAAAAAGTTTCAGTTCAGAAACAGTCCCTGAAAGAAAGCCTTCAGTCCACGTTAGCGGGACAAGCTGATATTTATGTAAGCACCGTTTTAAACCTCGTTCAAGCGAAAGTAAACAGTGATAATATTTAAATTATTGTTTATCCATTATTATATGGGACATAGAGTTAAATTTACTAGATTTGGCTTTGGATTGTTTGGGTGAGCGCAGTTTTTTCTGAGTAGTTTCTATTCTTATGAGAAAAAATAATTATTATATGGAAAATCGGCTGGTTACAGCAACGGTTGGACATGGCTAGGCCAGTATTTCTATTTTTTAAACCAATATTATAACAGTGATCTGTTAAGTGATCGAGACATTTTTAAACGATTTTTTTTTATAAGGCATTGCCTAACTCTTTTATTTTTTCCTGAGTCGTGGGTGCGTTTACAAACATAAAAATTCACATACACAAGCCACCCTTATCTGGAACAACAATTTGTTGGTTAAATAAAGTTGTTCCGTGTGAGAATCGAACCCGGACACACTGCACATGCAATGCGCCAATCATGCAATCTTAACACGGGTTCATGCAAAAACCATCATATCAACTAATTAAACTTATTTTCAAAACCTATTGTAAAATCCCATCGACCCCATACTGGTCGATAAGGCCCCCGAATAACCTTTTGCATCAGTACGGCGCTTGTAAAGTTAACACTCTACCCCATATGTGGTTGTGAACCATATTAAAATTAACCATACATTTAGTTCGTGTGTTCTCTGTCGTTGTTGATGGCCGTAATAGCACTGTCATTAATTATGGCAGGCATATATGAGTAGTATAGTCAACCGGTTCGAGTTTTGGGACACAATGCTTTTAAGTTTTAAAGATATGGAAGGTTTCACAATATTGTATGACGTTATTTGTTTTCGTATTCGAAATGAGCTGATCAGACAGAGAACTAAAGTTGGTCATCATCAGCCTATAAGTGCCCACTGCTGAGCAAAGGCCTCTTCTCATACGGAGAAGGTTAGAGCACTAATCACCACGTAAAGCAAATTCAAACTTATAGATAGAAATTATAAGTCCGGGTTCCTCACGATGTTTGCCTTCACCGTATGTTAGTGGTGTCTAAATAATCATAGAACGTACATATAACTCAGAAAAAGTCACATTGGTACTTGCCAGGTTTCAAACCTCATGCATGAGAAGCGGTCGCCTTAACCTCGGGGCCACCACGACCTTAAGATATGATAAGTCTTATCGTTTTTAGTTCTACCTAAAAACAGTAAATCGCAATAGATTTAAGTTGATATATGAATTACCACATAAAGTTCCCCATAATTGCAAGGGAGGGGGGGCTTGCAACTAATTGACTCATAAGCCTTCTAATTGAACAATTTTAACAACTAATCTTATTACCCTACTGTTAAAATCCAATTTAAGTTGACCTTGCAATTATCAAACTTACCAACCATTATAAATTGACACAGATATTTTTATTGGTTCATGTGCGAATCTCAAGAAAATGTACTGGGAAAAGGTCAATTGTGGAATTTATTTACTTACTGCGATATTTAATTCGAATAATGGTTTGAAGTTTACCTACACATTATTTTTACATCGTCTGACCTTTAAAGAGTCCTACCTCTGAGTATATTTTGGCATTTCTTTTTAAAGTAGATAGATATGAACTGTTTTTATAATCTGTTATTCTGATATATTTTTTTAAAACTTTGCCTCTCTCATGTGATATTGTCAGACTCTTTCTGACGACCCTGCTCCTTCTCCGATGTTTCATGCCGAGGCCGCGGCCACGGCACATTATTGCACTATCATTGATTATCAAACTCCTAACAGGCGATAAAAGTGTCCATGGGCGACGCTGATTGTTTGTTTTTACTTGATAGGTCGGCAAACTAGCTGACGGTAAGCAATTAGCGCCGCCCATGGACATCCGCAACAACAGAGAAGTTACGAGTACGTTGCATACCTTTTGGGGATTAGGGATTTGGAGACTTAGGGATTGGGGCAGGGGAAAGATCGGGCCTCCGGTAACCTCACTCACACGGCGATGCACAACGCTGTGGTTGTTCAACGCTGGTTTTCTGTGAGCTGGTTTCTCCCACGCTTGATTGCCATCAGGTGATCCTTTATCATCGTTTGTCAATCAATCCCATACAAAATGTATACCAATATACACTGCCAAACTTCTAATCGACATACCGCTTCTAGCACTCATAGATCCATGTATAAATACTTATGCAAAAGCACGTGTTATTGAAGTGACTAGCTCGACGGTAGCCGGCGACGTATTTTTGCGTCCCTAACTCGAAACACGATCCTTTTCACAATTTTGACCATTTATATGGTAACACGTTAAACTGGTTCACGTTAGAAGAGATTTTAAATAACAGACTGCACGGTTAGTGCGGTGGCTGGGCAACTAGCTGCCGTGCGAAGTGTCGCGGGTTTCATTCGAGCGGGAACAACACTTTGTGTCATCCACAAATTGTTGTTTTGGGTCTGGGTGTCATGTGTATGTGAAATTGTATGTTTGTAAACGCACCCACGACACAGGAGAAAATTCTAGTGTGGGGCAACGTTTTATTAATATTTTTTATGTTATAGGTCAGCGAACGAGCGGATGGATTACCTGGTGGTAAGCAATCAGCGCCGCCCATGTACACTCGTAATACCAAAGGAGTTACTACAAGTGCAATGCCGACCTCGTGTGGGTATCTTATTTTAGCGATTTAAGGATAGTGGATTTGGGGATCAAGGATGGGGCGAAAGGATGGGGCGAAAGGATCGGGCCTCCGGTAACCTCACTCACACGGTGAAACACAACGTAAGTGTTGTTCCACGTCGGTTTTCTGTAAGGCCGTGATATCACTCCAATTAAGCCGACCCATTCGTACCGAAGCATAGCTCTCCTACACTTATAAAGAAATGAAATAATATGTTTAATTGTTGTTGTTCATTCGCAGGATCGGTAAATTAAATTCTGTTCGTAGTATCGTGTGAGTTTATTTTTGTTAAGTATTGGTTTTTGTGGATTCATTCAACTAGATTTAAATTTAGAGGTATGCTTCTTTACCATTGACAGGGTAAATGGAAATGTGATAATTGAAAATCATCATCATCATCATCATAATCATCACTGATGATTGATTTATGAGGCAAGTATGTCCCATAATATCTACGTATTTGATTGACGACAAAGCTCGTCATTTTGGCGGCCCGAAGGTCAAAAAGGCCGCTTTTCATGCATGATTGTGTGTGTTCGAAACAAGGTATGTACAAATGTGAATTTATATGTACTTTCTAAGATTGTGTAGACACCGTTGAATGAATCCACAAAAACCAATACCAGGCCTCTTTTCACACGAAGAAACTTTAATCTATAATCACCACGCTTGCTCAAGGCGAATTGGCGATTTCAAACTTATAATTAAAAATTATAAAGTTCAGGTTTCCTCAAGATATTTTCTTTAGCGTCTGTCAGTGGTATATAAATACATTTAGAAAGTACATATAAACATAAGTGAGGGAGAGCCATGCTTCGGCACGAATGGGTCGGCTCGACCGGAGTGATACCACGGCCTCACAGAAAACCGGCGTGAAATAATCAAAGAGTTGTATTTCGCTGTGTGAGTGAGGTTATCGGAGGCCCAATCCTTCCCCTACCTCAATCCGTTCCCTTTCCCAAAATCTCCGAATCCCTAATCCCCAAACGGTCGACAACGCACTCGTAACTCCTTCGTCGTTGCGGGTGTCCATAGGCGATGCTGATTGCTTACCATCAGGTAATCCGTTTGTTCGTTTGCCGACCTATCATATAAAAAAACATATGTAAGAAAAACAATCTATCTGAAACATAACTAAGTTGAAAGAACTTCTTAATAAGCTCTTAAAAAGTGCACAGTGCAGCTTACACTGCTTGTAGTGTTTAACAAAAAACCTCCATACGATATCATATAAGCCTTCACCTATGAAAGCTTACGGTGGAACTTTAAACCGAGACAAATCCTTCAGAACAGCCTTATTCTGGAGTTGAACCAATTTTTGAACTTTTATTTTTATGTGATAGGTCGTCAAACGAGCAAGCCGACTACCTGATGGTAAGTAATCTGCATCCGAAGCAACAGAGGAGTTACGAGGGCGTTGCTCACCTTTTGGAGATTGGGGATTTGGAGATTTTAGGATGATAGGAGGGGAAGGATTGGGCCTCCGACAACCTCACTCAAACGGCGAAACACAATGCTGGTGGTTGTTGCACGCCGGTTCACTGTGAGGCCGTGGTATCACTCCGGTCGAGCCGACCCATTCGTGCTGAAGTAAGTATGGCTCTCCCACACTAAAACGTTTATAATTTAGCAGTAAGTCACTTCACAAGAAGCTTCACAAAAAAGGTGTGAAACGACTACAGCGTTGTATTTTGCCGTGTGAGTGAGTTTACCGGAGATTCAATTCCTGATTTTTACCATCCGAAAAAGAGGCGAGTATCCATGGGCGACATCGATAGTTTATCATCAGTTGATCCGTCTTCAAGTATATCATCCATACAATGCCAACCAATATATATGTAGGTACGAGTATATATTATTATTATCATATAAAATAAAAAAAAAAACATTTATATAAGTAAATTTTTTATTTAAATCCAAGCCAAAATTTCATGTGTCAGTCAAACGCATAAAATTTGATACTTACTAATATTTATATTTCATTTTATAAAGGATTAGTTTCAAAAATAGAATACCTATATTTTAAATATAAAATTGTTACTGGTTTTATAATGACAGTGATACGCATCGAAATTTGAGAAGCCCAATCGAGGGCTATTCTTTAACCAACATCATATCGTATAGAATAACATATATTGCATTTTTTTTCTTTTATAAAGATAAAGGAAAAAAAATGAAAAAAAAAAATAAAAACATTATGTTTTTCTCCTGTACCGTGAGTTTACAAACATAATACGATTTCAAATACACGTCACACCTAGAACCGGAACAACAATTTGTGGATCACACAAAGTGGTGTGCCGTGCGGGAATCGAGCCAGTTGCCCAGACATCGAACCAACCGTGCAGTGATGGTTGTGGTGGACTGGAGGGATGGTCTTCGTGAGCTGGAGGTTAAGGAGCCCACTACCCATGCAAGACGGGAACGGGAATAAAATTGGGTTTTTTTTAAGAGTGCTATGTACTTTCTATTATTGTTTAGGCATCACTGACATTTTCCGTCTAAGGAAAACATCGTGAGGAAACTAAAACTTTGATTTAATTGCATGTTTTAAATCGCCAATCTGTCTTGATCAAGCATGGAAATTTTATTTTTATGGGATTAAGCGGAAAACGTGCAGACGGATTATTGATGGTAAGCTATTTGCGCCGCCCATGGACACTCGCGACTATAAAGGAGTTACGAATGACTTGACGGCCTTTTGGGGATAAGGGTTGCGGATATTTAAGGATTAGGAAGGGGGAGAGATTGGGCCTCCGGTGATTCCATTCATACAGATTATACAAATTTCCAAAAAAAAAACATCCGTTCGTGTCAGAAGAGGCCTTTGTTCAGTAGTAGTAACTGATGATTCATGATGACGTTTTATGTTTGCGATAAATATTTCATAAACCCACTTTTACTTTAGTTACTTCCGATATTGCATAGAATTATGCTAGCTAGAATATAAAATACACCAATTTTATACGAACCAACCAAAACAATACTTTTAGAAGCACGAAAAATTAAACATTCACGCCACTACCAAAACCTAGGAAGCTAGCGACAATTTTTCAGCTCCAACTTCCGTATTCAGAATAAGGCTGTTTCGTCTGAAACAAGCTTGGCATATAAACTGAAAGACGAACTTTAATATATGCATTTTGCACCCCACCGCTACCCCTGAATATATCATAGGCATGTAAAGCATATGGATATTTATGCATGAAAATGCAGTGCACTTTCACAATTTTCAGGATCAATGTTTTGGGTTTTCAGTGAGGTTTTGTGCTGTCTATGATGTTAGACTTTGATGTTAGGATTAGTTTTGTTAGTTTTAATATGGTTAGATCCACCACAGATAAGGTCTAGTGGAGCTGGTAGATCCTTGGTTTTTTGAGGGGAAAAATAATCAAATGATGAGAGAAGCTGATTAAGGGTGAGGCTCCAGAGTGTCAGACGGGCTGACGGATCCTTGGCTTTTTGAGGGGAGGGGAGAATAAATGACTTCTTTTGTACAGAGTGAGGCGAGAGAGAGTGTCAGACTCTTACTGATTGGAAAACACCTCATTCCTTCTCTTGTTCCAGGTCTGGGTGTCATATTTATGTCAAATTGTATATTTGTAACCGCACCCACGAAACAGGAGAAAATCCTAAAGTGGGCCAACGTTGTTTACGTGCGGGAATCGAACCCGCGACTTATACTAATTATACTTCTAACTTCCAAGAAGGTCAAATGGCGTGATAGATGACGTCACCCAGAATTCAAAGCCACATCCCATTAAATCGAACCTTAATTAACACATAATCGGTTAAATTCGAAACAATACATACAGATTAGAGAGCTAAGGACCACATGACAACCCTGCAAGGGATTACTGAGTATTACTCAGTAGCTAAAGTAACAAATAGAGCCTTTATTAGTGTATTGACGAGCCAATTAGAGTAGGTCTCTTGCTACTAATCCAGGATAAAATGGATCTAATGGGTTTATTTTAAGATTGTTATTTGTATGTTGTTAAAATATTTTTTTTTATCGTGTATTCTTTTTGGCGTTTAAGTGTTTTGTGACAGCTACGTTTGATTTTGAAGATTAACACTTTCTCGTTTTTTTTCATCTAGTTGTACATAGTACCTACTAATTTTCATCATCATCATCATCATCATCAGCCTATAAGCGCCCACTGCTGAGCAAAGGCCTCTTCTCATACGGAGGAGGTTTGAGCATTAATCACCACGCTTGCTCAATGCGGGTTGGCGATTTCAAACATATAATTAGAAATTATAAGACCAGGTTTCCTTTACGATGTTTACCTTCACCGTTTGTCAGTGGTGTCTAAATAATCATAGAAAGTACATATAACTCGGAAAAAGTCACATTGATACTTGCCAAGTTTCGAACCCACACCCTCATGCATGAGAAGCGGGCTCCTTAACCTCCGGGCCACCACGACACTACCTAATAGTTTTAAGTGTGTTTAATATGACATGAAGTGTGAAAGAGCCAAGCTGCTGCGGTACGAATGGGTCGTCTCGACTAGAGTAGCACGGCCTCACAGAAAACTGGCGTGGAACAACCACAGTGTTGTGATTCGCCGTGTGAGTTTAATCCTTCTCCTAATTCATAATTCTAAGAAACACTAATCTTAATCTTTTTTTTTATAAAAAACGTTGCCCCACATTAGAATTTTATCCAGTGTCGTGGGTGCGTTTGCAAACATACAATTTTACATGCACATCACACCCCGACCCGGAACAACAAGCTGTGGATCACACAAAGAGTTGTTCCGTGCGGGAATCGAACCCGCGACATGTTGCGCGGCAGCCAGTTGCCCAGCCACCGCGCCAACCGTGCAGTCAAAAGTACTAATCCCCAAAAGGCGAAAACTTCTTTGGTGTTACTGGCGTGCATGGGTGGCGCCGATTGCTTACCATCAGGTAATGTGTCTGTTCAAAAGCCAACCAATCGCAAATCATGAATTGATTTGCGATTTCCCTTTCCTTTTCATCTCTCAAGTGTGGGAGAGCCATGCTTCGGCACGAATGGGTCGGCTCGACCGGAGTGATACCACGGCCTCACAGAAAACCGGCGTGAAACAACCACAGCGTTGTGTTTCGCCGTGTGAGTGAGGTTACCGGAGGCCCAATCCTTCCCCTCCCCCAATCCCTCCTCAATCCCAAAATCTCCAAATCCCTAATCCCTAAAAGGTCGGCAACGCACTCGTAACTCCACCGTTGCGGGTGTCCATGGGCGGCGCTGATTGCTTGCCATCAGGTAATCCGTCTACTCGTTTGCCGACCTTTTACATTAAAAAAAAATCTGTGAGACAGAAAATCATAAAAATCATTACACAAATTGAGTTGTAATATCGGAAATATTTATTTCATTGTTTTGTATTTAGAATGGAACACAAAGGTATATGCTTTTGTTTTTTTGATGATTGGCTCTGGATTTATTGGGAAATTCTATTTAATTTTATTTTACACAAAATTCTAGTATGTGCTTCTAACTCCGTCGTATAAATGTATTGATAAATAAAACATATATGCTCGTAGTAGCTTTGAATATTTAAATAGCTGGTACTCACTCAACCAAAATGTGCAAAACCGTTTGATTCTACATCTGTCTGTCGTTTTAGCGAAATGCTGTAAACTTTTTTTTTTGAAAGGCTTCGTTTTTTAAATTTTAAAATGAAATTTGTAACAAATTTTGAATAAAGAAACCTATTTGATTTGTTGCTCGTTTTCGATCAAAGGAATGTGCGATTGAATTTTTTCTGTCCCTAAATCCCTATGTATGCTTAAACCTTTAAAACTACTCAACGGATTTAGATTTATTTATTTATTAAGAAAATTTACATATATGATGCGGTTTTTACTAAAAAGAGTGTATTATAGCATCTAATAAATAAATAGAGGACATTTTTCAAAATTTAACATTTAGTATCAGCACTGCATGAACCGGGGCGGCCACTAGTAAAGAATAAATTGTAATTTTTTTCTATGTAATATACCGGCAAACGAGCAGACGGATTACCTGATGGTAAGCAATCAGCGCCGCCCATGAACACCCGCAACGGAGGAGTTACGAGTGCGTTGCCGACCTCTTAGGGATTTGTGTTTTGGAGATTAAGGGATTGGGGAGGGATAGAGGGGGGGAAGGATTGGGCCTCCGGTAACCTCACTCATACGGCGAAACACAAAACTGTGGTTGTTTCACGCCGGTTTTCTGTGAGGCCGTGGTATCACTCAGGTCGAGCCGACCGATTTGTGCCGAAGTATGGCTCTCCCACACTTAAAATAATAGATATACCTTTGAAAAACATAGATTATTCATCTGTAATTTTCATTTGATTGATTAATGATAATGTTGACGTCTGCTGTCATATGTCAGTGATGTCTAAATAATCATAGAAAGTACATATAACTTAGAAAAAGTCACATTTTATACTTGCCATGTTTCGAACTTGCACCCTCAATCATGAGAAGCGGGTCACTTAAACTCGTGACGTAATACTGCATAGTCCAAAAAAATTAAAACAAAAATGTTAATCCACTTCCAAAATTTCGTTTCAGTTGGTTAAAAAAGAGTTCTCACTTTAAACTCAGCGAACTATCATGAGGTAGTATTGAAAAATGTTTCAAGACGAGCGGCTAGCCGAACGAAAATGGTTTTAATCAGTATTACAGCCGAAGAGCAAATCTAATTTCGGGAACCGACGAGCGACTTCCACAAAATGCGGTTTGCCAAGCAAACGCATTAGGGATGGGATTCCTATCGATAGAATGCACTTTTTCTCCAGTTTTTTTCTTCTATGACTGCTTCAATGGAATGGTTTTTAATATTGGATTCTGTCTTTGTTTGTTTGTTTCGTTGAGTATGAGAGTTTGGATTAAAAACCTGGTTCGGTTGTTCGGATATTTTTACTGTAGTTTTCTTAGAATGTTAAAATTTATTAAATACTAGCTACTTACAGTTTACCTGTTTTGTCTTTTTATTGTAGCAAGATGTTTTATAGCAAACACAATAAATATCTAATAATTCGAACCAGCAATTCTTGAGATTAGTGCGTTCAAACAAACATCCAGGCTTTTAAGCTTTGTGATATTTTAGATATTAGAGTAAAGGTATTTTTTTAGAAATTAAAAAAGATTGTGACCTGCGAGTTTGTAGAAAAATTCTCACAGAATATAAAAAAAACAAACCGTCTACGTCAGTGTTATTTTTGGTGCTGTATTTTTATATTTTCAAATGTACTAATGACGGTATTTTTTATTTAATAGGATTCAAACCTCCTTATTACCTGATAGTAAGCAACCAGCGCAATAGCTGCCGTCTACAACCGAATACGCAAGTAAAAAAATAGCCTATTATTCTCCAGCCTCATAACTTTATCCAGATACGAAGATCAAAACTTATAGCTTGCTGCTAAGACTTGGAAGAATCGATACAAA